TTCAAGTATTCATTCACGTCCTTATTTTGTATAAGCGTTATATTCCCTATTATCTTATATTGAATGTTGAGAGCCTTTGTTTGTCTGAACAGATAATCCCACGCTCCACTGTGACTGCGCGAAGATCGAAATAAAGACCTATTCGCTACTTCTCTGGTTTCTTCTATCAATAGCACGAGGGTTATCTTAAGGCACGAAAGGATGTTACGAACTTTAGGTATTAATGCTGATTTATCATGCAAAATACCTCATTAAATCGTGTTACGAAAGTTGAATCAGTTTCACTTCCTACCCAGTAATCCTGTTACAGGCAAACTAGACAATTCGATAATATACGAAGCCTACTCAAGACCCTATGATACCTAAAAAATAATAATAATACAAAAAAAGATGAAAATGGCTCCAACAGCTTTGATATAAAGGAAGATAGTCAATTGTATATCACAATAACTGTTTTTAGCACTATATTTTATGCCCACACCTAATCTCATATTTTCAGATCCTTTCTGAATCCCCTCCATTTGTCAGTTGTATGTCCACTCATACCTAGTTTACACTTACTTTCTTTAATCTATTAAAATGCTCTTGTTTAACCTTAATAAAAGAAAATTAGACTGAGTAATAATACCTTAAACATTCCTTCATGAATATTGGCTACTCTGTCTCTCGTGTTTTCTTTTACTTGCTCCCTTTTTCAGCCTCTTGATATATGGAACGGATGACTTCATCTTGCACCATCCTTAAAGCCTTGGATATTCCAAAGGGACATAAGGTTGCGATTTCTAGAAGCTAATATCTTCAATGGACCTATCCTTGACCATCAGTTGCACATTCGCAACGTGACTTTCATGAAGCGCACCAACGGATATACTGACTAAAACCATCTACATTCATATCTTTTAAATTATCAACCCAGCTTAGTAATTTACTACAGTGGGTATTGTATCATTTGTAAAAATTTGATCTTGCCTGTAAACTGGCATGCCTCATGTAACAAACTGTTATTTGAGAATAAATTATTATTATTATTTACTTCATACAATACAGACACACTAACCAATATATTTTATTACAACATCAGAAATATCATCAACGAAATGGCAATTTCAGAATACTGGAGACCTATGTTCTCTAAAGATTTGTATATACCGGTCGGGACAGGAAGACGTCTTTAAAGACATTGTACTCGATTCCACAACTTAAATGACTTCCATTCCTTAGTAACGATGACAAGAATATTGGTCCGAATAGAGGCGATACGTACACACAAAACAGTTGCACAGGAAAAACATGCTGTCGAACTTAATAGTAACTCCTCTGCACTCAACATACTCGTTCAAAAAAACTTAGACGTTCTAATCGAGAGGGAACATATTTACTAAAGACAAACAGGTATACGAAGATCCTAAACTTGTTACGGAACTACTTAGTGAACAATTTTGTTTCTCGTAAACTAACAAAAAACCACTAAATGATTCAGAACCAATCCCAGTACCTTCCTGTGAAATTACTAATGTAGACTTCAATGTGCAAAATTAATACATTGAAATACCCCGATACGGATGAAACAGATAGTATTCCGGGAAGCACGCTTAAATGTGGAGGTGGTGACAAGTGTGTTCTACTTCTCAAACTACTTGTGACATCACTCTCTTCAGCTTGTTATCTTACTGCCAGAATAATAAACACATCATTCCCAAAATTAAAAAAGGTCCTGAAGCAAATATTGAAAATTACTGGCCCATAAAAAACTTCAAAGATGTCTAGGGTAATGAAAACAGTAGTTAAGGCGGCGGTGATATGTCACCCCTTTCAAATCAGAAGTCAGAATTAAAGGAGCTCTAAAATATATTTAGTAGGCTATCGATATGTCGAGAAACGTTTGATCTATTCTGGTTAACAGTTGCAAGGGATGAGTAGCAGGATTTACCCACGCGTCGTCTGGTGAGAATGTTTGACCGAGTACCTTGAGTTGAGTGAATCCAGTAAAACAAATGAGGTCAGTATCAAATGTCAAAACTATTTGTTTTGGGGCTTTATTTACGCTACAACTGCTTCCGGATGGCTTACATTATTAAATATAGGTGTTTATATTAATCATTTCAGTGGTTCACGACCGTGAAATAAATGTACCTGAAATGGATAAAAGCCAGTGGTATAAAATGTTAGGATGTACTAAAGATAACCTTGGTGTGGAAAACTGTGGAGCGCGCATTATAAGCTGAGGTAAATCCATAGTTAGCTAGTTGTTGGCATTGAAGTCAATAAGAAAAGTAATCTACTGAACGTTAGGCACAGGAAATATTCTCTTGACAAAAAATGGTTCTTTTGTCACTTAGAGATACATCGAAAGTTCGAGAAATACAAACCACGTTGGGTGCCGAACCTTCCGTTCGTATAGCGTGCTTGCTTAATGTCGAGTTACAAACCGGAGTTGAGTCTCATTAGCCGTAAGAACCGTGATAGGTTTGATGCGAAATGCAATGCGCAGTTCACATACTTGTTTATTACGACGGGCCTTGAGGTGATATAATGAAACCTATGCGTAAGCAACGTTAACGTGAAAGTTGATGTGGAATATGAGGATTTAAAAACCTCGCAAAAAGACATATCTGTTGGGAGCATGGCGGGGACGATATAGGCTTATCATGAGAGGTTGTTGTTAGCATAGTGAGATTTGTGAAAATTCAAAAAAAGGTAATCCGAATAAGTGTCAGATAAATGTTGAATATGATATGACTTGATGAAACTCTATTTTATGGACGACCTTTGAACGAATTTTTAAATGGCCTTGAGAACATTAGTCAATCAGAAGAGAGCTAGTATAAAGTCAAAATATATTATAAAAAAGTGATGAATTACAATGGATATTCTTCTTTTACATTATTTAAGAACTTGTTGAGGTTTGTTATAGGTTCAGAAGTTTTGAAATCATATTGCATGCGGTATAAGAACTCGTCCATATGATTCCATTATAATCGTCCTCTGGAGCCGTTAGGAACTTAAAAAATACTTCAGCCTAGAGGCATCTATACGCTTTCCAATCATCGGTATAGCCGCAGCTAATGTTACTGGAGACTTTATGATCCAATTTGCAACGATTATCATGGTTTGTCTTAGCCTTAGCCGTGACCGGGCAAAAAAGTGCCCGTTCGAGCAGATTTTTTTCTACAACATCGTGCTGCGGTCATTTAATTGCCGCAGTCACAGACACAGGAACTTCTTAACAGTGCCATCTGCTGTAGTCTCTCAACGATCACCTATTCTCTAAAATATTCTGTAAAACGATCCAATTCTCGTATATAAAAAGGCGAACTAATAGAAGCGATGGAATTCCATCACTTTTGATACGAAACAATCCGTTAATCTTAGCAGAGAATGATGCCGAAAAAGCTGAAGCTTTATCGGAATATTTTAGTAATGTGTTTTCTATCGGTAATGAGGAACGACCAATGATTCATTGTGACCGTGACGGCTCGCTGATGGATCCTGTAGTCATTGAGAAAGATACTGTTTTAAGGCTACTTCAGCATCTCAAACCTGATAAGTCCAGTGGTCCCGATGATATTCATCCTAGGATTATGAAAGCCATATCAGATGAAATTGCTGAACCATTAGCGATACTATTCGACATGTCTCTGAGACAGTCCAGACGTCCTAGAGACTGGAAAGACGCCATAATAAGTCCGGTGTATAAGGCTGGGAGTAGGGATTTAGTTAGTAACTATAGACCCGTTAGCTTAACTAGTGCAGTTGTGAAACTGATGGAGAAAATCATTCGGATAGCTGTTATAAACTATGTTGAAGGGCAAAATCTTTTCTCCAGGGCACAACATGGTTTTCGGAAAGGCCTATCTTGCTTGACAAATCTTCTCATTGCACGAGAAGAGTGGGCTGCGGCAAAGGATCGGAATGCTCCTGTGGATGTAATTTTCATAGATCTAAGTAAAGCCTTTGATAAGGTTTCACACTCTGGCCTTAAATTCAAACTGAAACGTTTTGGAATCCATAACACAGTCGTCGATTGGATAAGTAACTTTCTCCATGACAGGAGACAAAGGGTAAGGGTTAATGGGGCTCTCTCCTCGTGGGTACCTGTAAAAAGTGGGGTTCCCCAAGGCACAATCCTAGGTCCTCTTCTCTTTTTACTTTATGTAAATGAATTGCCAACTGTAGCAAAATCATCCGTTCTACTCTTCGCTGATGACATAAAGATTTGGAGACCCATACATAGTATGTCGGATAGAAAAGTATTACAGGACGATCTTACCTCATTGGTGGCATGGTTAGACAGGTGGTCACTAGAAGTAAATCCTAATAAGAGTGTAGTGATGCAGTTAAATAACTCTGATGAATCGTATGACTATACACTACGTGGATTCGTACTACCCAAAGCAAGAAACTATAAAGACTTAGGAGTTATATTAAACAATGATCTCAAAACGACTAGTCACTGTAAGGCTGCTGCTGCAAAAGGCTATAGGGTATTATGGTCAATTCGTAGGTCTTTTCAGTATTTAGATGATGAAATGTTTGGATTACTATACCCGATTTATGTGCGACCACATTTAGAATACGGGATTCAAGCAGCGAGTCCTTGTTTCAAATATGAAGCAGATATGCTAGAAAGAGTCCAACGACGAGCTACTAAGATGGTACAAGGTCTAGCTGGCCTATCTTATGAAGACAGACTGAGACACCTTAACTTATTTCCGTTATCTTACCGTAGAGTACGGGGTGATCTAATATTGGCTTATCGTATACTGAACGATGACCTTGGTATTAACATGTCTTATCTTTTGCTTCCGTCTAGAACCGATCATTTGAGAGGACTTTCGAAGAAAGTTCAAAAACCGAGATCAAACCGTTTACGTCTGGAGTTCCGTTTCTCGCACCGAGTAGTGAATTACTGGAATTCCCTACCGGAATACGTAATATCAGCACCGTCTGTTAATATATTCAAAACGAGATTGGACCTCCACGGTATTACAAATTGCAAGGATTAATATAGGTCGACAGACCTCCTATCCTTATTACTGAAGACTGAAGGATATGGCTCAACGAAGACTGATTTCAAACGATTACCACGTAGAATGATACGCAAAGTTCTACATGGATACTTAGTGAGGTCTCTCACACCGACAAGCCGTTGTCACCTCAAACCGCCTGAGGCGACCTTGGTATTAACATGTCTTATCTTTTCCTTCCGTCTAGGACTGCTAATAAGAGAACGTTCGAAGAAAGTTCAAAAACAGAATTCAAATCTTTAACGTCTGGAGTTTCGTTTTTCGCATCGAGTAGTGTATTACTGGAATTCCCTAACGGGACACGTAATATCAGCAACTTTTGTTGATCCATGTAGTGTATAGTCATACGATTCATCAGAGTTATTTAACTGCATCACTACACTCTTATTAGGATTTACTTCTAGTGACCACCTGTCTAACCATGCCACCAATGAGGTAAGATCGTCCTGTAATACTTTTCTATCCGACATACTATGTATGGGTCTCCAAATCTTTATGTCATCAGCGAAGAGTAGAACGGATGATTTTGCTACAGTTGGCAATTCATTTACATAAAGTAAAAAGAGAAGAGGACCTAGGATTGTGCCTTGGGGAACCCCACTTTTTACAGGTACCCACGAGGAGAGAGCCCCATTAACCCTTACCCTTTGTCTCCTGTCATGGAGAAAGTTACTTATCCAATCGACGACTGTGTTATGGATTCCAAAACGTTTCAGTTTGAATTTAAGGCCAGAGTGTGAAACCTTATCAAAGGCTTTACTTAGATCTATGAAAATTACATCCACAGGAGCATTCCGATCCTTTGCCGCAGCCCACTCTTCTCGTGCAATGAGAAGATTTGTCAAGCAAGATAGGCCTTTCCGAAAACCATGTTGTGCCCTGGAGAAAAGATTTTGCCCTTCAACATAGTTTATAACAGCTATCCGAATGATTTTCTCCATCAGTTTCACAACTGCACTAGTTAAGCTAACGGGTCTATAGTTACTAACTAAATCCCTACTCCCAGCCTTATACACCGGACTTATTATGGCGTCTTTCCAGTCTCTAGGACGTCTGGACTGTCTCAGAGACATGTCGAATAGTATCGCTAATGGTTCAGCAATTTCATCTGATATGGCTTTCATAATCCTAGGATGAATATCATCGGGACCACTGGACTTATCAGGTTTGAGATGCTGAAGTAGCCTTAAAACAGTATCTTTCTCAATGACTACAGGATCCATCAGCGAGCCGTCACGGTCACAATGAATCATTGGTCGTTCCTCATTACCGATAGAAAACACATTACTAAAATATTCCGATAAAGCTTCAGCTTTTTCGGCATCATTCTCTGCTAAGATTAACGGATTGTTTCGTATCAAAAGTGATGGAATTCCATCGCTTCTATTAGTTCGCCTTTTTATATACGAGCATAACCGTTTCGGACTATATCTGGAATCCTTAACCAATTTTTTTTCGTATGAATGTCTAGTCTTGCTTATTAACGCTTTACAGGCATTCCTAATCTTACAATAGCTGGATCTGTATTGTTCTAAGCCAGTAGAGATGAACATATTCCAGTGATTCTTCCTTTTTCTAAGGAGTTTCCTGACCGTTTTAGTTATCCGTGGTGGACTATTATTCGGTCTTCGCGGTACCAGGTATGGTATGAACGGGGACGTAACTAGTCTAAATTTACCTTTAAATACAGACCATGCTTCTTCAACTGATATGCTAGTATCTACTAACCAATCTGTCTTAGCAGCGCATTCCTGAATGGCTGATATGTTAGCTTTCCATACATTTGGGCGCGGTGTAACCTGATCGTATAACATGTCCCTAGTTCTAAACGCGAATGACAAAACAGCGTGATCGCTGTTTACTAACGGTGGAAGAATATTTAAGTCGACAATATCCTCAGTCTCATGAGTGATTGCCAAATCCAGCAGAGAAGAACCCTGGTTAACACCAAAACGTGTGGGTTGGGATACATGCTGCACTAGTGCATGCTCCATTATTGTTATCAGTAACCTACTATCAAAGGAGTTTATAGATCCTTCTGTGGTCATATCAGTCCAACTAATATCAGGTGCGTTAAAGTCTCTTATTATCAAGCACCTGGTATTATCACTCCAAAGATGAATGTGCTCTAAAACAAAGTTATCAGCTAAGCTGATTGGGCTCCGATAAATGACACCTAGCATAAATGTACTACATCCTATAGCCAACTTACAGCTAATGACTTCACAAGTGCCGCTATCATGGGATTCGCTAGTAGAGGAGCGGATATTTATGCCATTGGCTATATATAACAGGACGCCGCCTCCTTTTCTACATCTATGTCTATCACTCCTGATGCAATGGTATCCGGATAATTCTGGAGTAATGTCTAATTCATGGACTAACCAAGTTTCTGTCACCGCTACAATGAGTGGCTTTAATCTGTCCACAAGTGCTTCTAGTTCATAGAACTTATTTCGTAGACTACGAGCGTTGGCATATAAAACTCCTAAGTAGAACAGCCTATCCACACAGGCCTTGGTAGCATTCGCTTCCAAGACCTGACTATCCGAAAACCCACTAGTCGGAGATTTTCCTCGCCGTTTTGCCGACGGGTTTCAAGTTCAGCTAGTGCTTTCTTCCTTTTTATTCTATCTTCGAGAGACATGTCAGGTCTAACTCGGATGTCAGAATTGTCGTGACAACGAGCGCTACTTAACAAGAGATCCCGTTGCTTCTCCGATCCTAGGATTACCTTAAGGAGTCTGCATGGACGGGGTTCAACATTGTCCTCGGTCCTCTTGCCTATTCTTACCAATTTTTTGACCTGAACTCCTTTGGAGTTATCTGGTAAAATACTACGAATGTATTCTCCGAGCTTTTCTAAGTCATGCGCGTGTCTAATTTTCGGATCAGGGTCGTTTGACTCCCGCAATTTGCTCACAATAATATTTGATGTTATTAGATTTTTCTTCTCAGTCACGCCAGGATGGGTTTCACTCTTACCTTCAGATCTTGGTAGTGCAATTTGTGGCTCACAATTTGACTCCCCCAGTGAGTTACTAACTACCTGTGTACTGCTTACAGCTTTTTTCTTTTCGTTTCGTTTCCTACGTACCGTAGTCCATTTTTCATCCCTCACAACACTGGGACTATTTGGAACGGTGACTGTTTTATCCAGATCTTCGGTTCCCATTAAAGGTGCATTATTAACAATGTCAGTACCAGGTGGTACTACTTCCTCTGTTAATGTCAACGAAGATTCCACTTTTACATCGGTCATAGTCGGTTGTTTGAGGCGTCGCGTAACAGCAGGTACCACACTGACACATTCGTCGCTGTCAGTGCCCGTGTTGTCAGCGCATATGCCATCCTTCTTTTTACAGGCCAAAGCCAACAGGCTCATAGCCTCCTGTATTAGTAATGCCTTGTTGGCACAGCAAAACATGCAAAGCCAATGTGAGTTAGGCTTCGAGCATCTTTTGTATGCGGTGGGACTTAAGCGGGTGCACATTTTGTGGAACCACTTATGGCATTCGTCACACTGCATCCCCTCTTCCACAGGGAACAAATAGTTTGGTTGCCCACATCTGTGAGTCTTACCAACCATTGTAATTCGATTTAAAAGGTATAAAAACAAAAATGATAACAATGTGAACACAAGTGTTAGTCAAGGACTAAAAACAGGTACTCAGGAAAAAAATGTAGCAAAAATGTCAAACTTTAACCAAAGAACTCTTAGTTAAAGTCGACCAAGAATGCTTTTTAGTGCAATAAGTACCAAAAGCAAGTATAATCACCACAAGTACAAAATTCACTGCCCTTTTTGAAATCTCGCGTCCTATCCTATTTCATTACTTAGTGTATTTTTCATTTACTCATCTAATATATATATATATATATATATATATATATATACTAGACACACATATATATATATATATATATATATATATATATATATATATATATACTAGACACATTTATGTGATAAAAGCAGTGCTACATTTTTTCGGAAAAACTGAATCGTCCTATGTACTTTATTTCGTTTGGAGAGATTTATAACTGTAGACTTGTGCGAAATACACACATGATTTACCAATTAATCTATGACGTGAGAAGAGTTAACGCTTTTCACACTTAAAATATCCTCAAGCTAAGCCTCCGTATTATTTAAAAGTATTGTTTTAGAGGTATATATGTCTTCGTCGTATTTTACTTATCATAAACGACTGAATTGATTTTATAGGCAGTCTAATTCCGCATCTTGGTGTGAGTTCTAGGCATTTAATTCTCCAAACCCCTGAAAATCTATATCTTCACTCTTGTAAATAAAAGCATTGAAATATGTTTACCTTCTGTTATTTTGCCAAGATTGAGGCAAATACACTTCCAAATTTTTTTCGCAAAATAATTTTGCTGTTATCTCTACTTTCCAGTTTTGTGTAACTCATCTTGACTTTTGCGATTTTTATTGTAAGGTAATTTGCTCACTTTTATTGCTAGTTTGTCATCCTGTTCTCGATTTTGTTAATACATGTTCCTTTCAAAGTTGGCCCATAAAGGAATGGAGCTTACCAAAATTGTTAAATTGTTGGATGCATATTGCTTACCACACTTGGCCGAAAAGTGGGATAATGTCGGTCTCCTAATAGAACCTTCTATTCCACACCATGTGGACAGGATTTTTATCACAAATGATTTAACAGAACAAGTACTCGATGAGGCGATTTCTCAAAAATGTGGTCTGATCGTTTCATACCATCCACCAATTTTCTCTCCTCTTAAAAAGCTTACGCAACAGCATTGGAAAGAGCGTATAGTTGTACGTTGTATAGAAAACAAAATCGGTGTATTTTCACCACACACCGGGCTTGATGCAAAACTTGGAGGTATCAACGATTGGCTTTTAGAACCATTAGGTAAATTCAGACTAACTTAATATTGTTCTATAGCTGTCAATCGGAGAGAGAGTTTATCTCGATCACCAATTACTCAAAATTTATCCAGGTTGACCGTTGTTATGAACGAAAATTTCGGAGACTTCGTCATATCCACAGGAGTAGGAGTGTGTACAACTAATATTAAGAGGTGAGTCATTTTTTCATCACATTATCATGATCAGCAATGCTGGAATAACAGCCATTGTTACTTGTACCGAGTCCGATTTAAAACGTGTTGTAGATGTGACGGAGGAGCTTAAAATTTCAGTTGTTAGCATCGAAAATATTCAAAAGGTATATGCACTATCAAAAAATATGTTGTAGACAAGTGAAGAAGGATGTGGCAGACTGGTCACTCTACAGTTCCCAGTTCATCTAAAAGCAATTATCGCTGCCTACAAAAAGTTTCTAAACATAGGGCATTTAACTGTAGCCCCAGGACTAGGTAAAACCCTCGGTAAGATAAGTGTTTTATCTAAATTTCTCCTAATTTCATTTTTGTAAACGTTTATATAAAGTAATTGTCGAGGGCACTTCTGGTTATCCAACAACTGATTTGCTATGAAGAAACCGGAATCGAGAAAATTAGAGTTTTCAGGTTTGATAGAAAGCAGGCTACTCTTTTTTGGGCTGTAATAAGTGTGTACATAAAGGTACCATACGAGTCGAACTTAAATATACCTGTCGTCTTTAATTCCATTGATTAAAGGACCATGTCGCAATGCTTATCGTTGGATTTTATGCGGATTGTTGTAATATTTGTTTTTACAAGCCACGTGTTATATATCGAACAAATGGGAACTAACATTTTACTACTGACCTTTCATGCTTCAACAGATCTCACGGGATGAAATAATTCATTATTGACCTCACTAGCTAGTTCACTGAGTTGTCTCTGTTTAATAGGTCCACAATATGATTTAAGCTCAGAGTTCAGTTTATTAACTTGTGTCGCTTCTGGTGCTGGTGGTGGCGAGAATAGAGTTTTCAGTAAATATCATCATTTTCATCATATTTGTGTGTGGGCTGTGATACTGCCCGGGTGCCCAAACCGAAGTAGGTGGTTTTTTTAGGGGGTCACATCTCGAGCCTTTGACTTAAAGGTCTAACTCACAAGGCAGTGGAGCATCGTGAGGAGATGCAGTCCCATGGTAGCCGGTGACCACTGATTACGCACTTAATCAGTTGGCAATCAATGTCCGTAGGTATGGTATGTGCTTTGCACCTTCGAAGTGCAAAGTAATTCTAAAAGACTGGCAGGATCCTAGTCCTGTACTCACTCTGGATGGTGAGCAGGTAGAAGTAGTCGAGAAGTTCGTGTTTCTAGGTAGCTGCATAAGTGCTGGTGGTGGCGTGAGTGATGAGATCAATGCACGTATAGTGAAAGCCAGAGCGGCCTATTCCAATCTGGGCCATCTTTGGCGCCTTCGTGATGTTAGTCTGGCTGTAGAAGGTCGAATCTACAACGCGTCGGTGAGAGCAGTTCTGCTCTATGTTTGTGAAACCTGGTCTCTTCGAGTTGAGGATGTTAGACGACTCTCTGTGTTCAATCATCATTGTCTCTGAAGGATTGCTGACATCCAGTGGCAACACCATGTTAGTAATGCACAGGTTCGGCATCGTGTGTTTGGGCACAGAGACGATAATCCAATTGGTGTCACCATCTTGAAATATCGACTTCGGTGGCTTGGACATGTTCTACGAATGTCGTCCCAGAGAATTCCACGTTGTACATTATTTGCCGACACTGGGACTAGTTGGAAAAATCGGAGAGGTGGTCAGTGTATAATATGGTGTCGTGGTATGAAAGAAAGCTGCAAAGGGCTGGCCTGTGCTGGTCCTTCACGACTCCCTGGCTGGGCTCCGAGAGATGGTGCGACACAGTGGCTAGAGGCGTTATCAGATATGGCTCGGAATAGAAGCCAGTGGCGATCCCGCCTTAACCATCTTTTACCTTTTTCATAAAAAAAATGGTTATCTCTTCCTTAACTGAAAAATTTGGTCTGATTGTGCCTTTCCGTTCCCCCCATTATTACTATTACTTTTTCTATTATTATTATTATTATTATTATTATTATTATTATTATTATTATTATTATTATTATTATTATTATTACACTACCTTACACTAATCTGTGGTCGTTATTGTTCTGTTTTTTCTCTTCAAATTTTCATTGTTTTGTGTGGCGCATATATATGTGGTGCCCTCTTGTACCAATATTTATGTGTTCAAATAAATAAATAATCTGGTGCTGCCTACTTAATATGATTCGATATAACAATGCATGATATAATGCTGTATCAAAGAATCAACTAATAGAAAATTTGAGTAACAATAGTAATATAAGATGGTTACTATGTTTTTATATCGTATATATTATTAACAGCTGCATGAAGAATTTTAAGATAATTTATTGACAGATGCATATGAGGCTCAGATTTACTCTTGACTAGAGCATCAACAAATATAAGTATACGCATGATCTTTTCTTGATATTTGTCTTGATGTCCATCATGTAACCCATCTATCTGACTCAATATATTAAAGACCGATAGTATATCATTTGTGCTCATTAAATTATTTGGGCTGAACTATTTCTGTGGTTCATTCTATCTTCGTTGGTTTTGAGAATTAATTTCCATCTTGTTGATATGATTCAGTACTTGTGTCATTACCGAATAAGACTGGCTATTATCACACGTCGATATCCTTTGTTCAGGCACAATTTTACCAGTTTTACAATACAAACATGAACGCCTACTGTTAATATCAAAATTCTATCGTAGAAAAATGCGTACTGTTCACCTATGTGTAAATAAAACTAATTTCTCTTTTATCATAGTATTTAGCCAGTCAGCTACAACGTAAGACCAGGTACATATATGCATTGTTCCGAGTTGCCATACCTCATTAGCACGACAAGATGAACACCGAATTCATAGAAGTAGTTAATTCAAGGGTGATAATATATAAAAGATTGTGTATCAGGATATAGTTCAGGACGAAAGAATTAGTTGGTAGAAAAAAGATATAAAGCAATTTTTAATCCATCACGCCATTGTGATGAATTTTGAGTCAGTCAGTAACAACGTAGAACTTCGAACGTACGTACATCAGTTCGAGTTGCCACACCACACTAGCACAGAGATGCAGTGGTCGATTCAAATCCCGTAGTGGTAGAGGTAATAAGAGTATAAGCAGTAATCGGGAAGATTAGTGTTTGGAGATGTTACTTAAAGAGTATAATACAGTGAAATAAATTTGAGAGGAGAAAAAAAGAGACAAGGAGGAATAAGGAGATCAAAATTTGGGAGAACACAAAGAGTGGATGCACCTGCACCGTTGCAAACGATTTTGAGCCATGTCATTCAGGGTCTCTAACCATCGGTTGCTAACATCTCGCGGTCCCCAACCAGGTAGTCTACACCTACCAACATGACTCAGTCCACTTTTCAGTGACTTCATGGACTTGTGCCATGTTTTGGTCTGGCCGCCCCTAGCTTTCTTCCAACCTACTCCTATACCACTGAGCATTGCACGTCGAGGCAGTCGGTCGTTGGGCATACGTAACACGTGTCCAAGCCATCTCAACTGATGAAGTTTCACTACGTCATCAATTGATTTGCCATCCTTACCTAGTACCCGTTTCCTAACAACTGCATTACTTACTCGATGGTTCCACGATATACGAGCAATATTTCGAAGACACCTATGATCAAATACTAGTAACCTACGAATACCCTCTACTCTTACCGGCCATGTTTCACTGCCATAAAGTAGGACGGAACGTACTGCTGCTCAGTAAACACTTCCTTTTGTTGATAGACGGACATCTCGCCTACGCCATAAATGACGCAAGTTGGCAAAAGCTAGTCGAGCCTTCTGTATCCGTGCTGAGATTTCGTCACACACCAGACCACAAGGGCTGATGAGACTTCCAAGATAAGTGAAGCGGTCGACACGCTCAATTACTTCACTCCCTATGATTAGTTCGGGTGTCGATGAAACCCAATCCTGAAGCAACATTTTGCATTTCGAGGGAGAGAATCGCATCCCGAACATGCTTGCATTGTTGCTTAGAGTGGTCAGAAGACTCTGCATTTTGTCAGCGTCTTCGCCAAATAAAACTATGTCATCAGCATATTCTAAGTCAACAAGTGAACCTCCCGGTAGAAGTTCAACCCCTGTAAATTTAGATGAGGAGAGTGTTATCTCTAAAAGTACGTCAATGACAAAGTTGAACAAGAATGGGGATAGTGGACAACACTGACGAACACCACTTGAGGTAATCGATTCTGATGATAGTTCGCCATAAGCTCTCACTCTACCAGTTGTGTTCGAGTAGAGAGCCTTTTTAAGGTTAATGTACTTCATTGGTACTCCTTTCAGTGACAAACACTGCCATAGAACCTTACGATCAACAGAGTCAAATGCCGCCTTGAGGTCGAGAAATACTACGATTGTTGCGTCTGTGTTCTAGAACCTGACGTAGTGTTAATATCTGATCTATACAACCACGTCCGAGTCGAAAACCAGTCTGATTTTCTCTAGTCTGCTCTTTACGAGCTTTCGTTAGGCGTCGAAGTATTATTGAAGCTAATATTTTAGACACTATATTAGTCAAACTGATTCCTCTGTGATTGTCACAAGAGGACTTTTGTCCTTTCTTATAGACTGGCACAATCAGTGATTGAGACCAGTCAGATGGGATTACGTCTAGTTCCCAGAGTCTCCAATCGTTGTTTACGTTAGTCACGCGGACCCCAACCAGGTATTCTGCATCTATCAGCATGGTTAAGACCAGAAGTTAGTGACTTCAAGCACTGATGCCGCGTTTTGGTTTGGCCGCCCCTAACTTTCTTTCAACCATCCCCAACACTAATCATCATTGCGCTTCGTGGTAATCGGTGTTCGGGCATACGTAACATGTGGCCCAACCATCTCAGTCGATGAGGATTCACAACTTCATCAAGTGAGTTGCCATCATTCCCTAATACCCTGTGTCTAACCTCACTATTACTTATCTGGTGATCTCAGCAGATGCGAGCAATATTTCTAAGACATCTGTGGTCAAAGACTAGTAGCTTACGGATATCTTCTACTCTTAATGGCCATGTTTCTCAGTCGTCAAGTATAACAGGACGAACTGCCGCGCAGCATACTCGTCGCCTAATCGACAGACGGATATCTCACCTTCGCAATAGGTGACGTAAGTTGGCAAAAGCCATACGAGCTTTTTGAATTCATACGGAGATTTCGTCAGACACCAACCCATTAGGGCTGATCAGACTTCCAAGATAAATCATAGTATTTAAGCTCTGAACATATCTGATTTCGATATGTTTCATGAGTTCCTCCATGAAAGCTTGTGAAATACTTCTAAAAAAATTTTGTTGTGTTCCATTTGTGTAACTTTTATCTTTGTGAGTTATATTAAGTAAGACGGGAATTTAAATGCGCTACGTTATGTAGATAGAATAGACTATGACGATAGTTCCTTTATTTAGATGGTACTTAGAAAGACATTTATATAATTATTTAGTCATAACAAATGGTAATGAAAAGGTATTTGGGGATCGGCTCTACTAGGACTTATCCTTCAAGCATGAAATCATATTTGAATGTTTCGCAGTCTTTGACACCAATATATTTTCAATGCACTTGGTCGCGTTACTCATTATTAATAAGTAGTGTAAGACATTTGTTATGCAAACATTTGTCAAGTCTTAGTTCTTAATCGTCCTTCATCCTACGTTTTGTTCGTCCTTGAAGCAAAAGTAGCCTTTATCAGTTCGAATATCCTAAGTTTTCCTTGTGACATGTGAACTATGTTCATTGAAATATCGGACACATTTCTAACTTGTAAACTTCAGTCCTTTATTCCCTGGTGACTAGAACTAGATTAAAACTTGACTTGTAAGACGTTCACTTCCACAACTTAATGTTAGTTCCAACATTATTCTACTGTAGAATCATATGTAAAACTGCTGTTGCCTTTTATATAAATGTATGGAATTTCTGTTTGTATCTTTACAAAAGAAAATTGCACTTGACCACCAGTTTTATTTATTTATTTGAACATAAATATTGGTACAAATGGGGCACCGAATACATATTCACTACACAAGTCACTTGATTTGTGTGTGGGCTGTGGTACTGCCCGGATGCCTAGACCGGGGCATGTGTTTTTCTAAGGGAGGCCACACCTAGAGCTTTCGACCTGAAGGTCTGATCCACAAGGCAGTGGAGCAACGTCAAGAGATGCAGACCCATGGTAGCCAGTGACCAACAATGGGTTCATACGCCATTTGTTTCCTCAGGATACTGGAGCCCATATGCACTACCGGTTCGGAATCAGGGTTTTCCAACTCCCCTAGGTGGGTCCTCCATATCCATCAACCCGGTTAAAGTGCAGGATATTCGCTTTTTGTCCTCTCGATTTCGTAAACAACACCCTCGCAGCGAGAAGGCAGTGAGTAGGACTTCCCTGGCAGTGGTTGTATACACGTGACCATGTGAGAACATCTAACAAGAGTAGTTCCCACAGACATCAAGTATATGTTTCTTATTTTCATCGTGTTTGCGATCACAGGTTAGTATGAAAGGGAGGTGTTATAGGTTGTAAGTAGATAATTGATGTTATTACACCTAATCCGCTTAATGCTCATGTTCTGTTTCAGCTTTTTCTCCTCTTCACTCCTATTTAACCCATAGTTTTAAATATTTTTTAATCCTTTTTCCTGCTTTTCCTTGTTGTACATTGATATTGCTTAGATTTTTCTAAGTCACCTGTTCCGTAGTTTTGTTTATAAAGAGCAAGTAAAAATCCTATATGCTACTCATGCAATCATATTTGTAATTGATTTATGAGTGAATAATCAAACCTACTTTCTGATTACTTAAAGTACCCATTTATCCATAGGAAACAAATTCTGGTAAAATGAGATATAAAAAAGTTGAGGCTGCTACTGGATCACGACTTATTTATATTCTGAGCCATTACGATATTTTTTAAATTACTGAGTTGCGTTATCTTCACTAACTCAACCAGGGGTTTGTGATAGCTTGTCAGATGCTATCTTCTATCTTCTAGACGACGGCTCCGTGTCATAAACGGACCACCTCTCCTATCCACTATTTAAAAAAAGCCTCACCACGAATCTTCTCTATTCGTAAAAATCTGATTATTAGGTCAACTGTATTTCTCTTTGGAATATTCCCCTATCTTTCGGAGTATACAGTGGAAATATTAAAGCATAAATAAATAATGGATAGACTTGTAAATTGTAGTCAGACTAACCCAGTCAATTCATGTTCATAATTTGTGACACCTAATTTACGTGGCCCAAATAGAACCATACACTTATTTCCTGAGTGATTAGTTCAGTTTTCATATTACTCTCAACAGTACTGAAAGGGTACATCTGGTCTAAAACAAACTTTTCCATGTTGCCGGCCTTCATCGACCATATCTTATTGTCGTATGCAGGACATAACATATTATTTCTTCATGTCATGGAATTTTACCAACTGTCGTCTGATAACTGAATTACTTTAGTGTTTATTCAATCCCAAGTTAATATTCTCTAAGATCAATTTCATACGTATTATTGAACTTGACACATTAGACAACGCGAAATTAAAAGTCGTATTAGGTAGAGATACATTTCATACACACGAATTTATCAGACCACATATAAAATATGAGGCGTTTCTAGATAGTGAGTACTGTATGTAGTGTATAGTATGTGATGAATAGGCTGATGTAAAGATCAATTGTGTAGCAAGCATGTAGTATGACTTCGACTGGGTAGCTAACATCAGTCCATCAGCAGATCGGTTGTGTGCCAGAATTCAACTTTGTGTGTACAATTCATGCCCTAAGACATTCATAGGACTTCAAAATTCTGTGTTTACTTCACATCTTTACTGACGTTTCAATAGGTTTTACGTATTCTAAATTCATTAGGTCAATATTGCTTAATTCAAGGTCTTGTAGACTATTCTTTGTAAATTTGCCTTTAATTACAATAAATATACTCATTGATTGTCATTTATTTATATGACGGATCATTGTTTGTATCCATGCGACTCTAAGCGTTCAAATATAGATTTTGGCGATCAGTGCATTGTGAGATAATATCTTGAATGTGTTGTGGGGATGCGCAAGCGCATGTATTCTAAGATTTCTCCTATTTATACTTGTAGGTTTGTCATTTAAACATCTTTGATGTAGGACCTAGTACGAATGCTTTTTAGTCCGATCTACCGCACGTCATATTAGCACAGAGAAAAATGAAATTAGAAAGATACGAGCCAAATGATAGGAAAAAATGCCAGTTTTAGTTAGTATTTAAGCATGAGAAATGCAATACAGAAGGAATTTATCTCAGTCATTTTCACGAGGATTTATTTTTATTATTTCATGCATTTTAACATCCTGGAAATCCTGCTTTAGCCTCCTGGTATTTTGTTAACTATCAATCATAACATTTATTTACCATAATAATAATAATTGTTGTTGTTATTCAATAGACTGTCCAATTAAAACAGTTGCTGTATGTGCTGGTTCCGGTGGGTCGCTTTTATGCCAAACACCAGCTTCATTTGCCGCCGATTTATTTATCACTGGAGAATTATCTCATCATGATCGTCTTGAGGCTGTTTCTCGTGGTATTTCTATTATTTTAGCTGGGCATTCTGTTACGGAAAGAGGATTTTTCAGGGAAAGATTTATCCCAGACTTTCGTCATCTTTTATCAACTGTACATAATGCTGGTGAAATCCCACACTTGGAATTGTTATTATCCGACGCAGATCATGAACCAGGTTTTGTCGTTTAACAAATTGTTATTATGTTTGTGCAATTTTGTAGTATTCGATGTGTTACAACAGATATTTTTAATGGTTTCACTACTTTTTTCCATTTCCTTCTTAATACTGGATATTATTGGTCTATTACCAACTTGTAAAATAAACCATAATTATCATCCGATTTATTCTCAATTTTCAAATAATTGTTCCTTTTTGGTGGAGTTTTTTTCTCTGAGATGGATGGTTTGGTCGTGGAGCTTTCATCGTTCTTCTGAAGGACATCATCAGCACAAACTTCAAACAGACCTGATTCGATGCACCTATTGATAAGTTCAATAGTAGTTTTCGTTTCAGTGAACTTTACGTTAGACTTCAGGAACTCATTGAGCACCTTCAACGCAATGGGTTGTTCACAACATTTTAATCGTTTAAAGATCCGCGTCATATTAAAAGACTAGTATTTGAACGAAGAATATTCTTGTCGATAAATCCTCTTCAGGTTCTACAATTATATATCCAAATTAATAATCCGATAAATGGCCAGGTTAAGGGCAAAGTACATCGTTAAAAGCATGTGAATTTAGGATTGTGATAAACCCATCTACTGAGATTGTATGGATTGCCAAAGGTGCACAAACTGGGGATCCCATTAAGACCTATTTTAGATATGTATAACTCTCCTTACCATACTATAGCTAAATGGTTGGTAACTGTATTGAAACCTCTACACGAAAAGCTTGTAAAATATAGTGTTAAGGATGTGCTCCAATTTTTTGATAAAATAAAAAATGCAAATACGTTGGTACTCAAGATGATGTCATTGGATGTAACATCGTTATTCACAAACGTCCCACTCAGAGACTGTAGAATATATAGGTGAACAGCTGATGGAAAATGAAATTGAAACTACTGTCCCTATTAATGCCGTGAAAGAGTTATTACTCAAATGCACCATGAATGTGAATTTCAAGTCCGACGGTGAAATATATAGACAAACAGATGGTGTTGCAATGGGTTCACCACTGGGCCCTATACTAGCTGATATTTTTCTAGCCAAACTAGGAAATGGTCCACTAAAAAAGATTATTCAAAGCTTCAAATTTTACTTTAGATACATGAATGACACGTTCATTCTCTGTAAAGATAATACGTCGCCGCAAGAGGTTCTTAGGCGATTTAATGTAGTGCATCCAGTCATTCAGTTTACATTTGAAGAAGAAAGTGATGGCCGAATAGCCTTTTTAGACGTTCTCTTGATTAAGAGAGCGTATGGATCGTTAAAAAGGAACTTACACAGAAAAAGTACATGGACTGGGCAGTATACGAATTTCCTGAGATTTGTACCTCTACAGTACAAACAAAACTTGATCAAAAACCTTAGTTACTGTGTTCTCACTATATGTTCTGCTGATATAGTCTACGCAATGATCGTGAACAGTGGTGGGTAGCGAAAGCAAGAGAGATGGAAAAGGCAGCGGCAATAGGTAATAGCAGACAATTGTTCAGACTTATTAGGGAAACCGGTATTAGGAAACCGACTGTTAGCGAAACAATCTCAGAGAAAGATGGACATATTATTCATTCTCAATCCAGGAGATTGGATCGATGGGCAGAACACTTCAGGGATCAGTTCAACTGGACTACAGCCACACTTCGGTTTCCCACGATCTCTAGTCAACCTGAATGGCAAGTTAATGTAGGTCCTCCGTCCCTTTACGAAGTTGAAAAAACCATAGGAAATCTGAAACGAGGGAGAGCAGCAGGCCGTGACAGGTTTGCTACTGAGATTTTTAAGGATGGTGGTCCAGTATTACCAGTGAGAAAAACTGAGGTCTTAGGTAGAATTTGGGAACTGGACGTAATCCCATCTGACTGGTCTCAATCACTGATTGTGCCAGTCTATAAGAAAGGACAAAAGTCCTCTTGTGACAATCACAGAGGAATCAGTTTGACTAATATAGTGTCTAAAATATTAGCTTCAATAATACTTCGACGCCTAACGAAAGCTCGTAAAGAGCAGACTAGAGAAAATCAGACTGGTTTTCGACTCGGACGTGGTTGTATAGATCAGATATTAACACTACGTCAGGTTCTAGAACACAGACGCAACAATCGTAGTATTTCTCGACCTCAAGGCGGCATTTGACTCTGTTGATCGTAAGGTTCTATGGCAGTGTTTGTCACTGAAAGGAGTACCAATGAAGTACATTAACCTTAAAAAGGCTCTCTACTCGAACACAACTGGTAGAGTGAGAGCTTATGGCGAACTATCATCAGAATCGATTACCTCAAGTGGTGTTCGTCAGTGTTGTCCACTATCCCCATTCTTGTTCAACTTTGTCATTGACGTACTTTTAGAGATAACACTCTCCTCATCTAAATTTACAGGGGTTGAACTTCTACCGGGAGGTTCACTTGTTGACTTAGAATATGCTGATGACATAGTTTTATTTGGCGAAGACGCTGACAAAATGCAGAGTCTTCTGACCACTCTAAGCAACAATGCAAGCATGTTCGGGATGCGATTCTCTCCCTCGAAATGCAAAATGTTGCTTCAGGATTGGGTTTCATCGACACCCGAACTAATCATAGGGAGTGAAGTAATTGAGCGTGTCGACCGCTTCACTTATCTTGGAAGTCTCATCAGCCCTTGTGGTCTGGTGTGTGACGAAATCTCAGCACGGATACAGAAGGCTCGACTAGCTTTTGCCAACTTGCGTCATTTATGGCGTAGGCGAGATGTCCGTCTATCAACCAAAGGAAGTGTTTACTGAGCAGCAGTACGTTCCGTCCTACTTTATGGCAGTGAAACATGGCCGGTAAGAGTAGAGGGTATTCGTAGGTTACTAGTATTTGATCATAGGTGTCTTCGAAATATTGCTCGTATATCGTGGAACCATCGAGTAAGTAATGCAGTTGTTAGGAAACGGGTACTAGGTAAGGATGGCAAATCAATTGATGACGTAGTGAAACTTCATCAGTTGAGATGGCTTGGACACGTGTTACGTATGCCCAACGACCGACTGCCTCGACGTGCAATGCTCAGTGGTATAGGAGTAGGTTGGAAGAAAGCTAGGGGCGGCCAGACCAAAACATGGCACAAGTCCATGAAGTCACTGAAAAGTGGACTGAGTCATGTTGGTAGGTGTAGACTACCTGGTTGGGGACCGCGAGATGTTAGCAACCGATGGTTAGAGACCCTGAATGACATGGCTCAAAATCGTTTGCAACGGTGCAGGTGCATCCACTCTTTGTGTTCTCCCAAATTTTGATCTCCTTATTCCTCCTTGTCTCTTTTTTTCTCCTCTCAAATTTATTTCACTGTATTATACTCTTTAAGTAACATCTCCAAACACTAATCTTCCCGATTACTGCTTATACTCTTATTACCTCTACCACTACGGGATTTGAATCGACCACTGCATCTCTGTGCTAGTGTGGTGTGGCAACTCGAACTGATGTACGTACGTTCGAAGTTCTACGTTGTTACTGACTGACTGTTGTGCCGATAATTCGAACAACAGCTTAGCACCTTGCATAATACTCTCAGCCAGAATGGCTACCCTAGGAAGTTTTTAATTAAATATATTATCACTAAGGCGAAAGTAGGCGAAATACAAACAGTGAAGAAGAAATTCCTGTTCATGTGCCTACATTTCAGAGGGTATGCGGCTAGTGAAATACTAACTCAGTGATTACGCAGGACAATACAAAAGTCTTTTAACGCCTGAGAACTGCGATTAGTATTTCCTACACGCCCAATGGTTACACCGATACTAAAAGATGAATTACCTAGAATGACCACCTCATTTTTTATTTATCAGTTCGACTGCTCCTGTGGAGCGAGTTATATTTGTCGAAGATCTAGGAATTTACATTTTCGTGCTCGTGAACACCTTCCGGCGTGGCTAAACAAAGGTTTGATGAAGAAGGTGAACAGCTCAATATTGGCCCATTTAGTACAAACCGGTCATAATGCCAGTATAAACCAATCTTTTTCAATTATTTATAATGTAAGTAATTTTTGCCAAAACTGGTCAGACTAAAAGTCCTTCAAACGGCTGAAGCAGTAGCTATCTGGATGAAGAAACCTGAGCTACGCGTACAGAAGAAATATATTCAATCACTCCTCCTCCCCTGGCCAATATCAAGGCCAATTAATCAATCGTAATCTTAACTATTGGATTACCTAATTTGACTATGACCTTTCGTAGTCAATTGTAATTGTCCCTGCTATCTTTATTCATAAATCTTCGTATTATTATTATTATTATTATTATTATTATTATTATTATTATTATTATTATTATTATTATTATTATTATTATTATTATTGGTTAAGCATCATTAATCTCCCCTATTCATGATTCATTCACTTCGCATCCATCTCTCCGTATTACGTCTTACTTATTTGATCGAATTGTAATTGCACTATTATTTCTCTCTCACCCTACTTGACCCATATTCATTCTGTTCATGGATCTTAAATCTCACTTAACATATACTCAGATTCAAGTTAACATATTAACATTGACAATTTTACTGTATTTTGTTGTCATAATCCTAAATTCACATGCTTTTAACGATGTACTTTGCCCTTAACCTGACCATTTATCGGATTATTAATTTGGATATATAATTGTAGAACCTGAAGAGAATTTATCGACAAGAATATTCTTCGTTCAAATACTAGTCTTTTAATATGACGGGTATACAGAGATACTTGTCTTATGTATCTGCTCTCCTGTTTCTAAATACTGAAAACATTAGTTCTGATTTGTGTTTCAATAGCTGTCATAAGACGACGATTTCTTGATCCACTGTGTTATGTGCATTTCCGACATACACAAAATAATATACTTAGTAGATCAAGTAAACGTCACTGATTGTTATGGAAAGTTAGTTAGTCTACAACATATATTCTGTCAAGTTCGTTTCTTGATTATTTGAGTAGTTGGCATTAGCTGTTTTGACAATGTCCGTCAGTTGTGCCCTGGTTTTTAACAGTTTGTCAAATAAAGTCAGTCTGTGACGAAAAATATCTCTAAAGCTAATCATATATAACTAGGTGTTAGTATAAACTGCCTAAGTGGCCAAAACGATTTACTGAGCAGTAGTTTTCAATGTATAAATAGGAATCACACTGAAATTATCTTACTTTTGTCTAAAAGATTCAAAGTG